AAATTTCAAATGTTAAAAAGGCATCTAATTCCATTTGATACTAATTTCAAACAACAAAAAATCAAACTTCTCAATAATGTTTCCTTCTAATTAACAAAAATTAGAAAATACTATATAATATATTAGATCATTTCTAACCCAGACTCAAATCTTTTATCAAATTTTAATTTGATGAAAAATTAGTGAAACGGTGTTCCAATCATTTTACCAAATTAATATTAAATGAAAGGAACTCTACTTTTTTTTGTCACATAAAGGGAACGTTTAACCGTTCATCAAATCTCGCAAGTGACCATTGGTGAACGACTACATAGATGACCGGTTGAACAACCAAGTGAACAACCAGATTGGAGAAAATTTGAAGAAATCTTACACTAGGTCGGACAATTGCCCCAGACATCCACTCGGTCGACTAATTATTCGATAAAAATTAAAAATTTAGCGTTAAAACATTTGGTATTAAATGAAACTTTTAACTGAAATCTATATTTAAATTTGATGAAAAAAAAAAGAAATAAACATTGAAAATGCTCTTCGACAACAAAATTGATGTGTATGATTTATTTTTTTATTAAGTTTTTTAAATTTTAAGATTTAGGGTTTATTTTATGTTGTTTTTTTTAATAACTTTTTAATTTCATGTGCCCCCAAAGGGCCCTAACCAGTCGCTTCACTCAGTGACTCTGCTGCGAAAATGATGGTCTTATCCTGCGCTTACTCTGCCTATCCTGCTTACTCTGCTTATCCTACGCACGCTGTCAGTATCAGAGCTCATAGAGGCTTTTCTCCAGAGCAGTCGACCTCTCCAGTCTCCGTTTCTCTTACCCGTCATCATCGTCATCATCACCATGATCATCCATTTGTCCCAGAGGTTATGCTAAACCCAAGCACTTCAGTTATTTCTCAAAACCCTAAACTAATCCTCTGTTTGGATGCCAAGAAAATGAACGAACGAATTGAAGAGGGTTTCCTCTCAAGTTCTGATGAAACTCTGAATGAGCCCGTAATTTGATTTAGGAATTGTTGAAAATGTCTATATTTTGAAGTTTTCATAAGAGAAAACTAGCATTTTTCTTGTTAATAATAAAACTTTGTGTTTCTGTGGTTATAGTGCTCTTGTAATTTGATGTAGGAATATTGCTGAAAAGTCCATATTTTTAAGTTTTTCTAAGAGAAAGATCCCATGTAAAGATAATTAATTTGAAAAAAATGTGCCAGTTGAATGATGAATACGTGAATTCTTTGGAAATGTTACTAGATTTACTTTACAATGTATATTAGCCAATGCATTACTTGCATTCATATGACCTAGATGAACTTTAATTGAGTCTAATTGTGCCAAGGTATTGGCGATCGTGAATTCTAGGCTTGTTAAGTGAGCCTACTTAGTACTTTGTTTGAGCTTGGCTTGTTGAGAAATACTACCGGCGTTGTCATCATCTTGTATGTGTACTAAAATCCAAACTGTAAATTAAAGTATAAAAAAATGCAGCGGATAAAATATTTAGATCATACCTTTAGATGATAGAACCTCGTGGATAAATCACGTATTTCCAGAATCTGATAAACCAACCCAGCAGTGAAGTGATATTACAGAATGAATATCACCCACACAAATCACAGTATAAATGACTTGATCGTTGTTCTTTGGGAGAGAGTCAGTATATGGGTAAAACTCAGATCATACGTTGTTTCTCTCTTAATCACCCATAACCCATATACCAGATATATAATATGTTATTATTATCTATTTTGTTTGAGCTTGGCTTGTTGAGAAATACTACCGTCGTTGTCATCATCTTGTATGTGTACTAAAATCCAAACAAATGACAGTTGTTAAACAATGATCTTGGTTCTGTGTGCTCAAGAATCACGCATGTGCTGGACTAGTCATGTCAAATTTGTATTTAAAATAATTTAGAAATAGAACTTTCTTTGTTTTCAATTGTCTAAATCCTAATCTTCACAATCATGTATGTCAGCACTTTGGTGGTTCCACAGGCTATGGACACCAAGGATGCTGGAGAACGTGAAGCCCTTGACCAAGCTTTTGCAGAAATTGTCGGTGCTGAATCTGCAATAGTTCGTTCACAGGTTCGCCTCGTACTAATATATGTTTATGTAATTAGTTGTTTAATATATTTTGCTCCTTCACCATCAGTTTTTCTCAGGCACCCATGATATCAGATGTGCATTGTTTGCTTTTCTTGATAAGCCATCTCACCATAAGGCTATTGAACCACTCAAGCCTCAGCCGCAGATCAGAAGACCTGCTGAGGTTGTTGAAGATAGTTCACATGCTCAGGTAGTTAGATCAGTATTAGAAATATGATTGTATCGATTGTATTTTACATATTGAAAAGATGAATTCCAAGTTCTCTTTATTTCTTAGGCCAGCGCATGAGGTCAGCTATCATTTTTATGCTGTTGCTTGTCATTGTCATTGTCAATTGAGAATCCTTATTTTTATTCTAGAATATGATTTATACTGGTTTAATTTTCAGCTTTTCGCAGTTGTTTGTTGCTTGTCATTGTCATTGTCATTGTCAATTTGTTTAATATTTACCTTTGGATCAGGTTGGTTCGGTGTTGGCTCATCTTGTTCAGTTTAGCATCCATGCTATTCTTAGCAATGCTACGCGCACTTTTCTTTACACTTACACGTGTGTGCATAACTTTTTCGGGCTATATTTGTAGAAAGAGAAGTGCGCCTCCTTTTGAGAGATGGCAATAAGACCAATCAATCTTTTGTCATTTTACATATAAGATTTATGGAGCAACCCAATGTATGAGAATTTGGCTAAAATAGGTCAAGTCCGCAATCTTACCTTCATTTTTTTGGAAAAATTGATCAAACCATGATATATAGAAAACAACAATCTTAGACATCTCTTTTCCCTGATCCTTGTCATGTTCTGTTCCTGTTCTCTTTCTTCTTTATTTTGAGACATGCAAAAGAAAGCTAGTTTTGGTTAAAAGAGTCAAAAAAAAATTTCTTTTGTCATCAACTAGAAAGCCCAAATGTCATATCAACTTTTTTACACACAAAAAATAGCTTTTTTTAGCAACTCTTTAAATTTACTTAGCGGGTGTATGGGATTTTGCTTTTTTGACCTTTTTAAAAGTTAAAAAAAAAAAAAAGCTAACCTGTTTGAAAAGTTGTGGAACAAGATAATTTTTTGTGTGAAAAAAGTTGATGTAACATTTAATTTTTTTAGCTAACAACAAACAATTTGGTTTTTTTGATTTTTTAGCTCTTTTATTCAAAAATTTACCTTCTTTTGTAGTGTTCACAAACGACTAGTATGGAGAAAAATGCTCCTCTCTAATTATGACTTAAAATTTCTCATAGAACTTTGGCAAAAAAATTAAGAATGTAGGTTACTAGTAATAAAATTTTTCTTCCCAAAACACATTATCTAAAAATTTATCACACTAGTCCAAAATAAAAATTGTTGATCAAATTTTTTTTTTTGATCGGCAAAAAAAAAACTTTATTGATGGAATATATGAAAAATTACATCAATAAAGAGGAGCTTGGAGCTATAACAAGCTCCAACCTCCTAGTTGATGAGAAACCAACCAATAAAGCAAATAGAGTGCAACAACAGTAGACCCACTACTACAGCCCAATAATCATTCCAAACACTGTCTTAAACTACAGCAGCCCTTCATTCAATCCAAGCACCAAGTGCACTTGTTTAAGCCAACACAGCAGAACCCGCAGATCAAATTGCCATGAACTACCACAGCCCAATAATCATTCCAAGCACACTGCCTTGAACTACAGCAGCCCTTCATTCAATCCAAGCACCAATTGTATCTTACAAAGCCAAAGCGAGATCTTGTCATCTTTCGTCGCTTATTTGGAATGAAAGCATCCATGACTACCCCATAGTTGGAGAAAATGTTGTATAGTCCTCTGGTCCCCATGGATTCTAGTAGGTTATCCACGAAAGTAAAATGTATAGATGTGTCTACCTTACTGCTCCACACTCGCCGTCCACCATGTCGACATACCACTGGTTGCCATCCTCCTCCTCCTCCAGTAGCCATCTCAGTCCGAAGAATCTGATCTTTATGTTAATCAGTTGGGTTGTGAGTTGTGAGGCCAGGATAGTTCTATTGAACAGGCCGTTATAAAAAATTGTTGATCAATAAGAATGAAAAGTATGCGTCAATATAGGCCACTATTGCCCCAATAATTTTTCCTCTTTCAAAAAGAGTAAATATTGAGGTAAATTCCAACAACCAGCTACTCAAAACTTTTATTTCAAATAATTTTTTGATAAAATTGTATAACACAAGTTTCATACTAATTTCAAACAACTGGAAATGAAGCTTCTCATTGATTTTTCTTTATAATTAACAAAAGTTGAAAAACACTATGGCATAACTACTAAGGAACTAAATTATTAGACAACAACAAACACAAGGAAAATGTCGAGATTCTGGAAAGGAATGTCTAAAGGCTTAAAAGGTTTTCAAATTTTCTTTCTCATCTTCTTAGCAACCAAACACTAAGGAACTCAATTATTAGACAATAACAAAGAGAAGGAAGATGTTCAAGTTCTGGAAAGGAATGTGTGGAGGCTTCCAAATTTTCCTTCTTGTCTTCTTAGCAACCAAACACAAAACAAACTCAACTATTAGACAACAACAAACACTACTATAAAAACAGTTAAAGATCACACTTTAATGAATAAAAATATCTCACTTTTATTGGAAGTGTGATAAAAAAAAATTTAGATTGATATTTTAATCACACTTACTTGAGGAAGTGTGATAATATTTATTTTTAATCTCACTTTTTAAATAAATGTGATTATTTCTTCTTCTTTTTTTTAATTACATTTTCTAAATAAGTGTGATTATATGTATTTTACTAATTTTAATTTTATATAAAATAATTTCCTATTCTCTGATTTGTAAAAATTCAAATCACCATGACTTTTTCTTTTTTTTTTTTTCCTTCTATTGCGCAGTAGAGCAGCCGCACACACACATTACAACACAATTCAATTCTTTTTTCTTTTTTTTTGAGATTCCCAAACCTATCTCTCACTTTCTCTCTCTACACCCTAACCCTACATCATTTGATCAGCAGCAACTACAAGCAGCAGTGGCCTGCAGCGGCGGTGAGCGACTGTGGTATTCACCTTCCCAAAAAAAAGAGCGACCGAGGTATATCCTTTCTCTTCTTTCTTCTATTCTAACATTCTAAGTTTTGAGCCCTTCTAAATTGATTTTTGTTCATTTCATTTCAGATCTTAATCTTCTCATTGATTTGGGGTTTTATTAGGCAGAAGTAGGTAATATTTATTCCATCATTTAATATGTATTTTCTTTGTTTGATTGGTTTTTATTGTATATTTTCTGTGTGTTTTGTATATGTATCTAGTTATGAATGATGTTTTTATCTTTGTTGTTTGTTTGATCATGTTAGACACAAGAATTTTCAAATTCTATACAAGCTGTTAGCTTCTCTGGTTTTGCTTCTAATGGCATTGGCTGGTAGCTTTGTCAGGCTGTATAATGATATTGGTTTCACTCATTAAAAAAAACGAGAAGAAAATGAATAGGAATTTCTAAAAAATTTGATTTTTTTTTTGTGTAGTTAACAAATGAAAAATATACAACTAATTTTATTTCCCTTTCCTTTTTCTAACCCTCAGCAAAGAAACATAGCTTGAGGGAAAATGACAAGAATCATCACATCTACATTTTCTCTTATGTGAAATCTTTATTAATTATTATTGGATTTTTGTGTTTGCTTAGTCCATATGACATCTGTTCCAGTGGCCAATTCTTTGGTGTTGCAGAATGACTGGCTCTGGCCCTTTCTGTATTATTTTGGTAATGACAAACATAAAAACTTTATTGATTTTGGTGAAGATACTTCTTTTGATGAGAAACTTAGGTTTCCTTGTTCTTTTTTTCTCATGCCCTTTTTTTTTTTCATCGTTCTATATATATGATAATTCAGCACCAAGACACACTACTAGTCATTGCCTTTTGATATTCTTTTACATTTCAATGCAAAACATTTGACTGAACTTTGCTTGTATACATTTTATATGGTGACGAGTGTTATTTGCTTGTTCAGGTTAATGGAATATAAATATGAGATGCTACTTGTTATATTTTTTTGTGGGATTAAGATAAATACTTTTGCCTTCAATTTTTACATTGATTCATTGTTTGAATTTCATTTCATGCTATCTGCTAATTGCTTCATGTCAATACGATATACAGGATAGGGATTCTGCTCAAAACTGAAGTTTTAAAAAATCTAATATGCAAGGCTTGCTACTGCAGATGACAACACAAAAGGTAAAGGTGTTCATGTTCAGGTAAAGGATGCTATGGAAGGTGAAGATGAAAGAATGAAAGATAAAGTTATTTATGTTGGTGTTGAGGATGATATGGAAACTTAGGAAGGCAATGATTATGATGGTCTGGATGATATTTGGAAGGAAATGACTGTTGCATTAGAATGTTCCAAGGAACTTTGTGTTTGACACTGGAAAAGTTCCAATGCAATATATTCATTCAAATTCACTTTTGAAGGGTTAATGCTTTCTTCTTTCTACGTATTCTGCCAATTCTTTTCCTTCTAAGTTAGTTGCATGTTTGTGGTTCTAAGAATTTGTGACACAGAATATTTCAAAATCAGTGCTATAATTTTTACTGTTAGTTAAATCTTATATTTTAATTAATTTTTTAATGGGCATAAGTATCTTTGCATGCTGTTTCTTGAAACACATTTACTAGTAAGATAAGATGTTTCTTAAACAGGGTACTTAGAAGGAAAGCCGGAATAGTTTTTTTGTTCGTTTATAATATTTGTATTTTTTAAGGTTTAAGGTTTCTGTATGCAGATTAAATGGGTTCAAGGGTTGGTTTGTATGCTAGTTTGCTGAACACCTTTAGAAAATGTAGTGGAATAGTTCACACATTAAGGACAACTAATTCCCATTTCGGTTAAACAAGCAGCTTTAAATCATGCTTTGATTGATGGGATATTGTATCACTCATGCTTTAGCTTAGTTGCAATGATGTATTTGATTAAGTAGTAATTGTTTAAGCAGATGATTAGCTTCACAGAGCATGAAATGCAGAATCGAGTAAAACTTGGTAATGAAACAAAAATAATTATTTGAAGGAGTTAGAGGTGGAATCATGCTCTAGAATGTACTTTGGGAAGAAGGGCTTTCTTTGAGAACACAAATGCAATTAACAAAAAGGGCTTGTTGTGGGTCAAATTAAAAAAAGGAAATAGCCTTTTTGTGGATTGAATAAAAAATATGGAAATAAAGCAAAGTCGTATGAGAAGAAGAATCTAAAGGAGATGGACATGGAAACTCAAGTTTTCATTAACATAAACAAGTTTTTGTTAACAATTCTAATGGCTAGTCTGGAACCAAAGAAACAATAGAAGTTGAACCCAAAGAAGAAAACCAAAAACTACCTCGTAGAAAATTGAAAGTTCAAAAGAGATAGAAAGTTCTTTAAAAAATCGATTCTGGTTAAATTTGTAACCAACTCAAATAATTCTCATTATCAATATGAACTGGAACACTTGATCCAACTACTAGAAGGGTACCGGTTAGTAAGGTGTACTTGAAAAGACTTGATTGTATGACAAGTATATATGCACATTTTTATTTTTCTTGCCCCTTGATGAATATATAAGAGCAGTTACTCAATATAGTAATCAATGTCACGTGGAAAATGGTTCCATTTTTTGAAAGCCATTTCATTTACGTGCAACACCATCTTTAGCTCTGTTGGACAACAGTGTACCCTCTATATCTTATGATTTAAAGCTTCCTTTTTATGGGTTTAACTCACATATATGTTGTTCTATGGGCTCTATTCAGATGAAGAATGGGAAGGAGTTTCTTCTTACAGATACTGTTGGATTTATTCAAAAGTTGCCAACTACACTGGTAAGCTCTGTTACATCTTCAAGTTGCTTATGTGACAATCATTGCTGCTAATAATTTATATCACACGAACTCCTTGTATCTTTCCTTTCTTTTTTGTTTCAAACTAACTATTGAAGAAGAGGTTCCAGTAAATGTAAACTTACTTGAAGCTCAAGAAATCATGGCATTCTTCTTTGTTCTCCCCTAATCAGTGCTTCTTGCTGTAGGTTGCTGCCTTTAGGGCAACCTTGGAGGAAATTTCTGAGTCATCCCTTCTGGTGCACGTGGTGGATATTAGGTATTACTTGGTGAATTAGTGAAGAGGATTTATCTCTGCTTGACAAACACTATTTTCTCATAACATATTGTTATCAAGTTCAGCCATCCACTAGCAGAGCAACAGATTGATGCTGTGGACAAGGTTCTAAGTGAACTGGATGTGGCATCAATTCCAAAGTTGATGGTGTGGAACAAGGTGAGATATTTGTTCATTTGGTTATGAAAGTAGTTTACTGCAACACTTGATCTCTCTCTCTCTCTCTCTCTCATGTATAAGCATAAATATGCCTTTTGACTAAATCAATGGATTGCAGAGTTCCCATGAGCTGTCTCGACCTTTTGTTTTCTTTTTCAATTTATTGAATCATATTGAGTGAATAATTGTGTGGACCTTTTATTCACTCATCGGTCCGTCTCTAGAGAGAGGAAAGAATCAAAGATAAACTGGCCAAGTTTGTGAAGTGCATCCTTCACATACTTGATAGTGGAGATGCAAAATGAGTGTTTTATCTGCATATTCATGATTGTCAAACTAAAGATTTCTGTCCCTAAACCCTTTGTTTGTTTGTGTGTGTGTGTCTTTATTTCATTTATCAAATTTAAATTGAGTGATAGGTTGGCACTTGAAGCATTTATTTAGTGGCACAGTAGACTTAAACCGTTTTGTCCAGACTTGGGAAGGATGTTTTGCCTTTGTTACTCTGACTAGTTTTCTACAAAACTGATCTTTTTTCAAGTCTGAGATGCTTATCTGGAATGTGAAGCTTGTTGATGTTGACCATTCATTATTTTGTTAGTGACGAGTGCTTGATTATGGCCATAGCATCTCTAGTGTTATAGGGAAGCCACAAGATTACTTATACATTTATTCACAACAGATTGATAAAGCCAGTGATCCTCTGAAAATCAAATTGGAAGCAGAGAAAAGACAAGACACAATATGCATCTCTGCCATAAATGGTGATGGATTAGATGAATTCTGCAGTGCAGTTCAGGAAAAACTTAAGGTAGTTGATGTCAATTTTTTCAGTGTCCTTCAGAATAGTTGTTTCTGTTGGTTTGTCTTTGACATGTGTTGTGTTGTATGGAAACTCTGTAAATCAGGAAATTGATGCAGGATTCATTCCAATGATTGGCAAAACTGTATTTGCAATGCACATGTATTGCTTTTGGTATATGCTTTACCATAGCTCTGTTTTTGGGAGTGCAGTTATCTATATACTTTGTGGTCCTTCGCTATTAGGCTGCTATTATAGCCAGAACAATTATGGCTTTTGCTCAAGCAGAGTACAATTGCTAATTGCGTTAAACAACTGTACTCTGCTTCGGCAACAGCCACTATTGTTCATGCAATTGGGCTGCCCTATTGCAAACTTGGTGACACTTATTTTCATTTTTTTTAGTTAGAATTCTCATGCCTAGTTAACGTGAACACACAACTACAAAAGATTATATAGAAATCAACGTTGGTTGCCTTTGCATCCATCCTTAACAGTGTTCTTCTAATTTGTTATCTGAGACCATCAGCTATCAGTTTATGGCCATGGACTTATGGCTCTGCTCAAACATTGAATGGTAGCTTGGTTGGATGGATTCTTTGGATTTCTCCTTTGGTTCACATAGTTATAACATTTTTGCATTACTTTTATTGTCTTCCAAACATTTCATTATTTGTGCATTTGGAATTAGCTTGATGGTCAAAAGCACAATTTGGTATGTTATTGATATTTAGAAAGAACTAAATATTGATTATATATGATTTGATTAAAATTCATGTATATTGTGTAGGTTTCAATGTGGAGAAAGTGCAGTATAAGAATGTGGTATTCACAGTGTGGGATGTAGGCGGACAAGAGAAATTAAGGCCACTATGGAGGCATTACTTCAGTAACACCGATGGCCTGGTAACAATAAGTTTTTCTAGTCAATATTGCTGATATCTTCTCTAGTTATCAATTTTTTTACGTTATTAAATCGCTGTCCCTACTTTATGAACTGTCTACATGCTTTAGCCGGATTTATGCCTTTTAATATTTGATTTGTGGTGGTGGCTTTTTCTCAATGGCTAGGTGGTATAACATTAACTTGTGCTTATCTTGTGATGGGTTCTCATGGCAAAAAAGTTAGATACGAAGGCAAGGTTAGTAGTTGAACTCTTCATATTGCTAGTGTTCTTCAAATTTTAACAAATAAAAGGAGATTTATTTCATATTGCACTTATTGTCATCAAGGCATTGTGTTATGTGGCACGTTTTGTGGCAGTATCATGTACACTCCATTCTATGATTTCTGATTAGTTTCCAAAATGGTTAACCTTGCAGGTTGATGTGACTTTGCAAGATGGCCAAACATTTACTGGTACTGTGATATATGCTAATTTACATACTGATATTGCTATTGTGAAGATCAATTTTAGAACTCCTTTCCCAGCAGCAAAACATGTATCTTCACATGGCCATGGGTTGTCCCCTAGGTTTTGTGCTTCAAGTTTTTTCATTTTTTTAATATACGTGATCACAGTTAAATTTTTTTTTATTAATTTCTTTTTATGTACTTTTGAACATTCAACTTTTATTTGTGAAATATATGACGTTATAGCATTCAATGTGGTTGTAATTCAAAAGATAGTATATAATATGTATTACATTCTTTAAATGCGTACAAAAATAATATTAATTATTCTTCAAATAAATCGAACCCTTTTTTAATCTCACGCATTAATTGTGATGAGAAATGCATATAACATGTGATTTTCTCATTATTAATTACGCTTAAAATATGTGCTCTAAATGTTTATTATCACTGATTTTATTAGTTATACATCACACACAAAAAATGTGATCTAAATATTTATTATCACACGTAAAAAGTGTGATGAAATCATCTTTTAATGATACTCAAAATGTGGTTTCAATTTTTAATCACTCTCTCAAAGATCACACTTTGACAAAATTTAAAACGTAATTAAATAATATACATCACACATAAAAAGTGTGATCTATTTATGATTTTGTAGTAGTGAAAGAGAAAGAAAATGTTTAAATTCTAGAAAGAATATTTGAAGGTTCTGAAGGTTTTCAAATTTTCTTTCTCGTTTTCTTAACAACCAAACAGAGTCATTTAAGATGATTTCAAGACCTACCGTATGAAACCTGTTAACATATAATATACACACTATAGTGCAGTAGCTGTAAAGGGCAAACACGTTAACATATAATATACACACTTTAGTGCAGTAGCTGTAAAGGGCAAACACCCACTACCACACACTTTCACTTTTATATGCTTTCGGTGCTCCATTATCTCTTTCTCCTCTCTATAAAGAGAGAGAGAGCTCATTCTTTTGTAAATACACAAATACAATAATAGACATTGTATATATCAATCTCTCATTTCAGTCTCTCTCTTTTCTCTCTCTCTCTTTACCAATCTTTCATGGTATCAGAGCACAGTAATACAATTCTAGCATTTTTCAATTTTGGTGCTTAGTCCCGTACACAGTGGAACTACACCAAACAGCTCGGAATCTCCTTACGATTCCAACGGCACCAAGCCCGTCACCAGAAACACTCTCACGCGCAGCCCTTTTGCTCGGCGCGTCTCTGCTTCCGTTGCCATGCTCACACGCGCCTTCCACTCTGCCCTTTTGTGCGCCGCGCCTGCTACCGTGCACCCGCGTGCGCCATTCGTCTACCGTGAGCCGCGCGTGCGCCGTTCCGCTATTGTGCACCCGCGTGCGCCATTCTGCTACTATACGTCGCACGCCCTCTCTGCTACCGTGCGCCGCACGCCCTCTTTGCTAACGTGCGCCGCTGACATCATTTTCCATCCTGCTGACATCATCTCTACACAGCCCACCTTTCCTAGCTATTTTCGACCTTCCGGACTCACTGGTACACTCTGTTTTACCTAATTTTGCTCCTACAGGTCTATTCCTATCAATTTAGCCCTACTCAACTATTATTATGGATGTCATGATGCCTCCCATCCCATTTCCGTTATTTTGAATGGTTCCAACTATGTTCTATGGGCCCAAGCCACGTCTTCCTTCCTCAAAGGAAAGAAGCTCTGGCGAATTATCACCGGGGACATGACCCAACCGGTGAAAGACACTGTTGAAACCACTGTTTCTCCTGCTACTCCTACATATGAAGATCGCCTTGAGGAATGGGACAGTAAGAATTACCAAATCATTACCTGGTTTCGAAATACTTCTGTTACCTCTATCAGTCTTCAGTTTGGTCGCTTTCAGCTTGACTCCGTCACTAGTCCTGCAAAAGACATCCGGGATTTTTTGAAAGAATGATACCAGACTACTGGTCTTGCTCATCAATATCAACTTCAGAGCCAACTTCATCGGATGCGCCAAGAATCTAGTCAGTCCATCAATGACTTCCTTTCTCAAACGTACTCCATTTGGGACCAGCTTGCTCTTTCCGAACTGACTTGGCCTCACCGAGAAGATGCTGTTTTATTTACTGCCTATCGAAATCAGCAAAGGTTGGTGCACTTTCTCATGGCTCTCACTTCATCTTTTGAGCCTGTACGTGCCTCTCTTCTTCATCGCCATCCCTTGCCCACTCTGGAACAAGCTATTTCTGAGTTGCTATCAGAAGAAACTCGTCTTGGTACTCTCCAAACTCATCATGTAGATTCTGTTCTTGCCACTCCTCCGTGCCGGCCATCATTCACCCAGCGGACCACTGCCTGCCTCTACTGTCAGAATCGGGGCCTTCCTTCAACACATCTCCTGGTCAATTGCCCCGTCAGAACCTGCCGATACTGCAACAAACTTAGTCCTGGTCATCTACAACAGGATTGTTTTCGCAATCCATCCCGCTTATCCTCCAACAGCCACTCTTCTCGCGGTGGTTCTCCTCGGAGGAACTTTCATCGTTCCGGGAATCAGTCTCATCACACTGCTGCTGCTGCCGCTGAGGGTTTTTCTGAGTCTCCTGCTCTGTCAACCCCTCTCTTTTCTCCAACGGATGTCGAGGCCATGTTCAAACACCTTCTCTCCCCTTCTGGTACACCTCCTCTCCCCTTCTGGTACACCTCCTCATACTGCTTTGTCTGTAATTCCAGGTAACTCTTCTTGGTATTTTGACTCTGCCTGTTGTAATCATATGACCTCTAGTTCAACTATATTTTCTTCCATCTCTTCATCTCCTCATATTCTCTCAATTCAAACTGCTGATGGTTCTCTCATGACTGTCCGTCATATTGATACTGTTTCCACATCTTCTTTATCTTTACCTCAAGTTTATCATATCCCTGCTCTCACCTTAAACCTTATCTCTATTGGTCAATTATGTGAACTTGGTCTAACTGTCACCTTTTCTGCTACTCATTGTTTGGTGCAGGACCCTCAGACGAGGCAGACTATTGGGATCGGCCGTAAGCACGGACGTCTCTATGAGCTCATTCACCTTCATGTTCCTAACTCCCCTCAGATCACTGCTCCTGCATCTGCTTCCCCATTATCTCCTTTTCATCTTTGGCATTGTCGCTTAGGGCATATTTCTATTAATCGCTTAAAGTCTTTGGTTTCTAGTGGACAATTGGATCATGTAATTCCAGATACTTTCGATTGTATACCCTGTCAACTTGCCAAACAACCTGCTTTATCATTCAATAAAAGTACTTCTGTTTCCTGTGCACCTTTTGATCTTATACATTCGGATATTTGGGGCCCCTCCCCTACTACTACTATGAGGGGATCTCATTATTTTGTTGTTTTTATTGATGATTTTTCCCGGTTTACTTGGATTTTTCTCATGAAAACTTGGTCTGAACTCAAAACCCTTTATTATCGATTTGCCCAAATGATCCACACCCAATTTTCCAAATCCATCAAACTTTTTTGCTCTGACAATGCTATGGAATATCGAGATTCAGATTTCCTTTCTTTTCTTCAGAGTCATGGTACACTGCTTCATCGTTCCTGTGCTGGCACGTCCCAGCAAAATGGCCGTGCTGAACGGAAACATAGGCATATTCTTGACACTACTCACGCTCTCCTTCTCTCTTCTTCCTGCCCTGAAAGCTTTTGGAGGGAAGCTGCCCTCACTGCTGTCTACACTATCAATTGTGCTCCTACACCTGTCATCCATAATCAAACTCCCTTTGAACGTCTGCATGGCACTCCACCTCCCTATACTAATCTTCGGGTTTTTGGCTCTGCCTGCTTTGTTCTCCTTCAATCTCATGAACACACCAAGCTTGAACCTCATTCTCGTCTTTGTTGCTTTCTTGGGTATGGAATTGAACATAAAGGTTTTCGCTGTTGGGACCCTATCTCTAAACGTCTTCGTATCTCCCGACATGTTGTTTTTTGGGAGCACCAAATGTTTTCCTCTCTATCCTCCTTTCACTTACCTGTACTTTCCACTAATGTACTGTTTACTAATCCTTCCATAGATCTCTTCTCTGATGATTCTGATACAGGTTCCTCCTTCATTGAGACGCCCTTGCTCACTCCTGCTCCTGACCAGACTGTTCTCCTTGAAGGTCCACCTCTCCCTGCACCACTTTCTTCTCCACCGGTTCTTCCTCCCACCGATCCTCCTATGGGTCGACCACACCGGGTAACTCAACCTCCTATCCACCTTCGTGATTATATTGTTGGGTCTGCTGCCTTTTCTACTTATGAACCTACCTCCTATCGTGAGGCTTGTACTAATCCTCTTTGGCAGCAAGCTATGACTGATGAACTTCAAGCTTTGGACAAAACTCATACTTGGGATCTTGTTGATCTTCCTCCTGGCAAAACTGCAATTGGCTGCAAATGGGTTTACAAAATCAAGACCCATTCTGATGGCTCTATTGAACGCTACAAAGCTCGTCTTGTTGCCAAGGGTTTTAACCAGGAATATGGGATTGATTATGAGGAAACCTTCTCCCCTGTTGCTCGGCTTACCTCTGTTCGCAGTTTACTAGCTGTTGCTGCTGCTCGCCACTGGGAGCTTTTTCAAATGGATGTCAAAAATGCCTTCCTCAATGGTAATCTTCTTGAGGAGGTCTACATGCAACCTCCACCTGGGTCTACTTTTCCCCCTCATAAGGTTTGCAAACTACAGCGTGCCCTCTATGGCCTCAAGCAAGCACCCCGCGCTTGGTTTGCTAAGTTCAGTTCTACCATTCATGACTTCGGGTTCACCTCTAGCTCCTATGACTCTGCTCTTTTTATACGGACCACCCCTCATGGTATCACTCTTCTCCTTCTGTATGTGGATGATATTACTTGGCGTAGCAAGAAACAATCCCTCACTGCCCGTTCTAGCACCGAAGCTGAATACCGAGCTCTTGCTGATACTACTCAGGAACTTCTCTGGCTTCGCTGGCTCCTCACTGATATGGGTGTTTCCTCTTCTGGCGCTACCTCTCTTTATTGTGACAATCAAAGTGCCATTCAGATTGCTCACAATGATATTTTTCATGATCGCACCAAGCATATTGAGATTGATTGTCATTTCATTCGACAGCATGTTACACGTGGTACTGTTCATCTTCTCCCTATTGCTTCTGTCGATCAACC